ATGTTGAGATGGATGTGTGGGCACACTAGGCTGGATAAGATTAGGAATGAAGATATTCGGGAGAGGGTGGGCGTGGCTCCGGTGGACGACAACATGGGGGAAGCACAGCTTAGATGGTTCGGACACATGCAGAGGAGAAGCCTAGATGCCCCGGTTAGGAGGTGTGAGTAGTTGGCTTTGACAGGTACGAGAAGAGGTAGAGGGCGGCCTAAGAAGTAGTGGGCCGAGGTGATCAGACAGGACATGGAGCAGCTCTAGATTTCCGAGGACATGGCTCTTGATAGGAAGGTGTGGAGGTCGAGTATTAGGGTTGTAAGTTAAGGGGTAGTCGAGCGGTTTTCCCCTTTGTCCCGGTTTCCTTCTTTGTACCGACGAGTATGATAGTGTTTTGTCTAGCCCTGCTAGCGATTTATGTTGTGTTTCACACTTTTGTATAATATTTGTGTTACTGCTTTTCCATTTATTTGCTGTCTCTCACGTTGCTGATATTATTTTTCGGGTTGTGTTGTCATAGATCTATTGTCTCTGAGCCGAGGGTCTCCTGAAACAGCCTCTTTATCCCCTCTGAGGTAGGGGTAAGGTCTGCGTACATCTACCCTCTCCAGATCCTATTGGTGGAATTTTACTGGGTTGTTGTTGTTGTTGTTGTTGTTGTTGTTGTTGTTGTTGCATGTGTAAAATACATAATTATTGTATAATGAGATTGTATATGTATACTTCTCTGTGACATTGTGTATATTTCTCTGTATAAAAATTGTATATAAAGTATATAATTATTGCGTAACGAGATTGTATATGTCTACTGCATTGGGACATTCTCTATACTACTTTTACAATAAATATAATATAAAAATATAATTTTTGTATAATCAGATTGCATATGTGTACTGGTTGTATATTTGAGACACAAGTGTAAAAATTTGAAGAAGTGAATTATCGTAACACTTTTTTTAAATAGGTATTATCTTACATGCATAGATTAAAGTTGCAAATGGAATCTTAGATCTTCAAATATACACAAATCAAATATCTGCAAGGTCAGACGGTTCAATAATGTTCACATTTTCCCAGAGACAGGGAGACTACTTTCACAATGTCATGCTACTTTGTCAGTCATTGCAAAAATGATCCGCAATAAATATATCAATCCAAGAACAATATACACTCAGGCAGACATCATGAGCGACATGAAACAACAGTATGGGATTAATTGAGTTACGTAAAAGCTTGTAGATCAAAAGAAAAGGCACTTGAACTGCTAAGAGAGATCCTACACGAATATTATAGTAAACTGCTCGGTCACTTGTATATGGTAAATATGATAGACTCTGGTTCCGTCACAATGTTGTATAAATCATAGGATAGACGCTTCATGTATATTTTTGTCGCACTAAATGCATTAATGATGCCAATACTACATCTATTATAACTTCCTTATCACCAAAATAATCATCATGAATACTACCAGTATCATGATAGCCATGACTATCATGATGGCCATCGTCTCTTCTATCATTCTGTTCAGGAAAAATATACAAAAAGCTGTTAAAATTATAGTAACAGGTAAAAATAACAAAAAAGCCTAGTCATACCTTTGAAGCATTGTGTTCACCTAGAGCATTAAAAACTTTTCAAATGAGAAAATCATTAACTGCTCCAATGACGAAACCTTGTTGTTTACCTAGAAAAGAAAAAGTGAAACCGAATATCAATTGAGAAGTCAGAACTCCTCACAGCCAAAATAGAAATAATGTGTATGTATCTTGTTGATTCACTTCTTAGAAGTTTCAACTCATTGTCGCTTGAACTCGGGTTACTGGGCTGTGGATCTGCACAGTTTATGGTTATGATTCCAACTTAGTTTTGCACTGTTTCTTAGAATTTTCTTCAGATCGAGTGTTGAAATCATCAACATCATCTCTTGGATTAACTTCAGGGAAAGCTCCAAGATATCCATCTCATTTTTATCTTCAAACACAGGGACAAAATCATTCAATTCAAGCCTTATTTTTTCAATATTTGTTGGAGAAATATTATGAAACGCCAACTATAAATAAAATAAAAATTAACTTAGCAATCATGAAATTTAAAAAGAAAAAAACTGACAACTAAATATTATTTGGAGAAACTATACATCTTAAAATTAATTAATAATATGTATATTAAAGGTAAAAAAAATATATCATAAATATATAATTTATGTATATTGTTAGCATATGAAATAACTAAATATAAGCATTTTATCAAAATATTTTAAATTAAACATAAATAATTTTTACCTGCTTCCGACTTAAAAGAAAAATTATGTCCTCGACCTCTTGAAGGTCACCTTCTTCTTTGCAGTCCAGTTTAGTATGTGTGGCCCAAGATCTCCAATCCGATAATCGAGGTTTTTGTGAGTATAGGGGCAACATTCATAAACCAACACAGGGATACCAAAGACAAACCACCGTATCGGTACATCTCTCTCCTACTATGAACCATATACTTCATTGACTCCAACATAGCATTGAAAACCATTTCCCCCCAAGGGAATGTCTCATAATCACTAGACTCAACCAATAGAAAATTATCATTTGTTATGAAATCAGCATTTGTAATAAAGAATTAGAAACTGTGAATGAAGTACAATACCGTAATCTTTAATGCGTCTAGAAGCAAGTTTTCACAATTGAAAACTATAAAAATCAGTAAAACGCTATGAACTAGCCATGTGTTAACAACACATTACCTTAGATTTTATTGTGAAAAATATTATTTACTAATACAAAAAAATGGAGTAGTATAATTAAAGTTTAAAATATTTCTACTGTTTAAAAATACGCAATCTTTCTTCCTTTATTTTTTTTATAAATATTTTATACTTCTTCCTACAAACTTTAATATTGTCTAAACGAATAAAATCGAAAAAACTATAAGAAATTTTCTAAAACCTCAAAATTTAGACATAAAACAAAAACTTTACTATATTGGTGGTGAAAAAGAGCTACACGTGGAATGTTAGACTACTGACATGGTATAACACGTAAGAGCAATAATATAGCAACACGTGGAAGTCTTATTTGATAGAGTAAGAAAAGGCACAGGAAGAAACACCCACGAGAAAGTATCGGGCCTAACAGCTGGCAAAGAATGAATAAATAATAGAAAGAAGGAAAGATACATGGACCGGAAAGAAATAAGGAAGGGGAATCGTAACAGATGTAAGGCATTTATAGCAATAAATGCATCGGTTATGAGAATTCAAAATAGAGGGCAATCAATATCATTTATGTTCATAACTAGCACAAATTATGGGGGGAAACCGTTACTATTGTACATTCCTATATAAAGGCACAAAATTTTATTTGTAAAGGCACATCCGAGATAATATTGAAATGTACACTTTACTTTTCTGCTTTCTCGAAATTCTCTGCTTTGATCCTGCAATCAATTAATTCCTTATTTATTTTTGTTATTTTCCTTTGATACTATGGAGATAGTGAAGCAAAACTTGGTTATCAGAAGCCCCTTTTCTTCTAAAATTAGTCTTTGATTGAAAGACATATTTTTGGTTAAACAAATTGGTTCTATTACCAGAAATCTGATAATCTTTTCACTTTTCAAATTCATTTTTCTGTCAAACAATCATGTCGACTGCCAACGATAACAACCAACTGAATCAACTAAACCAATAGAACCAACAAGAGGGTGAAACTCCAATCCCTTCACCTCAAAATTCTCCTCAACACTCCAGAGAGGGTTTACCTCAAAGATCAACATCACATACGAATAATCAACAAGGGGACGAACAAACTGCCGAGGACGCATTAAAACAGCTAATTGCAGAACACGTCAACAATGCCCTTCAAGCTTTCGTCATTGGGTTGCCAACTGTGCCACCAACTACACCTCCAAACAACACTGCAACCATAAGAAACCCACGCTCGGGACTTGCTAATTGGGGCAGCGGAGGAACTCCCAGCGAATCTCGCGATGGAAGGTCAGGTACCCCAAATAATTCTGATTTACAAAGTTTAGTACTAACTTTGCAGAAGCAGCTCAAGGAGCAGAATGATCGCATAGAACAAATACCTGGTGTGCCACCGATGATTAAAGGAGTGAATATTGACAAATATTCCTAACAGCACTGGAAGCCAAGTGCCGCTCCCTTGCCGATTCCAAAAAAGTTTAAAATGCCTGATATTCCGAAGTATGATGGAACAGCCGACCCACAAGATCATGTAACTGCATTTACAATTGCCGTGAAAGGCAATGATTTAACCAAGCAAGAAATTGAGTCGGCGCTGGTAAAAAAATTTGGCAAAACACTCACAAAATGAGAACTAGCATGGTATTCTCTTTTACCGGAAAATTCTATTCATTCTTTTGCTGAGCTTGCAGATTTATTTTTAAAAGCACACTCGGGAGCTCAAAAGTGGAAAAGAGGATGAAAGACATATTCAAAATAAAACAAGGAGATACGGAGCTACTCAGGGAATTTGTGGATAGATTTCAGCGTGAAAGAATGATATTACCGCGGGTACCTGATAACCGGGCGGCCATGGCGTTGCAAGTAACTTAAATGAAAAAAGCCAGAAGCCACGAGGAGGCTCAAGGAAAGCTTACGAGAATTCTCTGCTACAACTTGAAATGATGTTTACAACAGGTATAGTACGAAGCTGCGGATAGAGGAAGACACTATCACTCAGTCACGGGGAGATGAAAGAACAAGTTCGAGGCGACCAGAAACTGAAAAAAGGTGCAGTAAAAATAGGTGCGAACCTTACATGGGACCAGCACGACGGGATTCACGCTCTAAACAAGAAAATCCGAGTTATGGTTCTAGATCAAGAGATAGAGATGCGGGTTCATCATCCAAGTTTGGGAAAGAGTGAGATACGCGGGACAACAATGTCAATACAAAGACAAAGATTGGTGATTATAGTTTCAATGTTAGCACTTCTGAGTTGGTAGTTGTTTTAAGAAGTATGGGAGATAAGGTGCGGTGGCCAAAAAAAATGAGATCAAACCCTAGCAGAAGAAATCCAGATTTCTGGTGCGAGTTTCATAACGACCATGGTCATAAAACAGCAGATTGTAGATTGCTACAAGGTGAAATAGAGCATTTATTAAAACAAGGATATTTAACCGATTTGTTTAGTGATAATGGTAAGCAAACGTATACGAAGAATAGACAAGAGCCACCAAATCCTCTATCACTAAAAAGAATGGTTAATGTGATAAGAGGAGGAGAGGAGGTCAACGGTGTAACATATACGGCTGCAAAAAAGACATCAAAAGTCACGGTTACCCAAGGAAAGCAAGTTCGCCAAGTTTTGGAAGAAGACAACATAATGTTTGATGATGCAGATGCAGATGGCGTGATGATCCCTCGCAACGATGCACTGGTAATATCTTTACTTGTACATGATACTAATGTGAAATGAGTTTTGATTGATCCAGGTAGCTTTGTAAATATCATTCTTTTAAGAGTGGTAAACGAGATGCAAGCTGATGACAAAATGGTGCCCAAAGCACGGACCTTATCTGGATTCAATAATTCAAGATTTGTTACAAAAGGGGAATTAGTGCTTACCACATTTGCATAAGGAGTTGTCAAAGATACAAATTCCAAGTGATAGATACGGACATGGCGTATAATATGATTCTGGGTAGGCCTTGGATTCATGATATGGATGTTGTTCCATCTACTTTGCATCAAGTTATTAAATTCCCTTCACAATGGGGATTAGACAAATCCGTGGAGATCAGTAGGCTTCTATGTGAGCATGTGATTTTTGCCCTAAGCAAATTAATTCCAAAAGTTTCGAATAATTGATCTCTTTATTATTTTACAATTCTGTTTTTTGTGTGAATTTTCGTTAAATTTTTGTGTTAATTGGTTGCATTTTTATTCATATTAAAAATACAAAAATATGCATTTGCATTTAGGAATTTAAGTTCATGTCCAATTTCATCAATTAGGTTCAGTGACCGATTGTTTTCTTGTGTTGGTTGTTTCTTCTTTTTAATCAATCTCCGGTTCTGTTCTTGGTATAGCCATGGTTGTTATGATACTTTCAGTGGCAGTGGTGCATAATTCTGATTTGGTCAATTCTAGGAGTTTTTAATTTTCTTTGCTTCATCATCTTCGGTTGATTTGGTTTTGACTTCTAGTTTAATTGTCATCTTGATTTGATTTTGTTAAATGTTTAAATGATAGCTTTAAGTAATAGAACTTTCTGTTATTTGGTTAGTTTGTTCATGATTTAAACCTGTTGGAATTAGGATCTCTATTGTTTTAGATGTCAATTTGTTAGTTTAATTTCTGTTTATTTTGATTAGTTTAATTCTGTTTTTCTGATTAGAATTATAGGAATTCATTAATTATTTTGAGGTAGTTGATCCTTAATTAGGTCTAGGGGACTGCTGGATTTGGGTAATAATTTCCAGGTGTTTTAAGGGTATTTTGGGAAGGGAAAAGGGTAGTTTAATCATGTTTGGTAATTTCTGAAATGAAGTAAGGGTAGAATAGGAATTGTAATGGGTTTAGACCCTTCTAGAATGGGCTTTAGTACAGATTTCAACAAATAGGTGTAGTTACTTGTGTAACAAGTCAGAATATAAAGGGGTAAAAATAGAATTAAAATGGGGACTAATGGGAAAAGTGAAAATCTGAAATTGGACCCTAAGTTTTCCTATAAATAGGCATTCATTTGCCTTGCAGAGGAGGCTTTTGGGAATCCCTGAAAATTGATATAGGTTGGAGCCCTTCTCTCAACTTTCAGATCTGAGATATAAAATCACAAATTCAAAAAACCAAAACAATAGAAAACAACAAAACACCAAAATAAAAGTTACTGTTTCATTGCTTCCTTTAGATCATTTTCGAACTTTCAGCCATTAATTCAGCTCTTTGGCTCACTTAGGATCAGAAATAGTTGGAACCTTTCTGCTTCTGTTCTATATTCAAAATTACAGCATTTGGAGTCATTTGTAGGATTAGATCTGTCTGTTTGAGTTCCACTGGGTTATTTGCTGAGTGAGAATGAGATTTTGGGTTCAATTTCAATTTCAATTGGTTTAGTCAAATTGTGTCTGGTTCATTTCTGGTTTCTGCTGGGTTTCAAGCTATTCCTGGACCGACTGAGTTAGCTCTGGGTTGTTGTTGATTCCTGCCTGTTGTTGCTGCTTGTGACTGCTGAATACCAGTTGATTACCTGCTGCTGACTCCTTCTTTTTCTTCTGTTCTATTTTAAATCCAGGTACACCGTTTAAACTCACACTAATGTAGCATCAAATTGGAGTGAAATGAAGTGATGTTCCAGTTTGTGTTCACTTGAATAGCTGAAGTTATAATCAATTGAGTGTTATGTAGTTATTTAGCCTTAATTTGTTTGAATTATATTGAACCAGTGATTGTTTAATTAGGACTATTTTGTTTAACTTGTAGTAGACTGTTAGTTGTGGTTTGGACTTTATTCCTCTTGAAATAGAGCCCTTAGTGTAATGTGGGTTGACTACTTTTTTTTATTGTTATTAAACTTGTAATCGAATGCAAACAGCAGCGCATAGGCAGTTGTTCACGTTCGTCTAGGTCTAGTAGACAGGTCATGTATGTATGATTCGAAATCAGAAACTAGCTGTAGACTCATGTGTGATTTAAATGTCAGTAATCATTGTTGAATAAGTGTGATTCATTAGAGTTGATTATAAGTAATCCGGTTTCATTAACATCACTGGCCATCAGTTTCATCAACTACAATAACTTAAAGTGATACTAATCTTGAGTGCAAAATCAGAATTCATAAGTTGACACAGGTGTAAAGCTAGGTCCGCAAATCAATTACATCTTACATCAATTGATCAAGCTGGGCTGCTCTAATTCATGAAGCCCAAATAATTCTGGTCTAGCTGCGTAATTTTATAGGCAGGCCCAGTTGATTTGATACCGGGCCTGTGAACTGTTATGGGCCCAGTCTGCCCAATTCCTGAGTAATGAAACTGAAGCTGTTTGGTGAAAATGGCTTGCTTTACTTGTTCAATTCTCGGGCCCAATTGTTTGATATCGTCTTATGGAGTTTTGGACTTTTCACACACGTTAATTACTCAAGACCTTTTCTTTTATTTTTAGAGGTAAATCAAGTGGAAATTGTAGTTTGCTCTAGGTTGGCCTTTAATCAATATGATGAGAGGAGCCTCGCCAAATAAAATGTACAAATGGCGGGGCCCTCAATAAATGCTATAAAAAAAAACTTAGAACTCGGGTGAACCGTTTAGCGTTCCACGGTTTTCCTCAAAGATAATAACTCGTTAGTCACTTTAGGCGCGTTTTAATAATCTTACCTTTGTAATTACGGGTGCACATTTATGTGACCCAAATCCAAATCTCAACGGAGTCGAAATGTGTTAACAATCACGGGTGCACTGGTGCGATGTGGTTCGAGAACATTTTCACGACGTTGCAATTCTTTAAAATAAAAATAAAATAAAATAAAAGCGGTTTATTAATAAAAGGGCACATAGGTTAGAACATGTTTTAAAATCAGATAAAAGCAAATACAACAGTTGAGCGACCGTGCTAGAACCACGGAATCCAGGAATGCCTAACACCTTCTCCCGGGTTAACAGAATTCCTTACTCGAATTTCTGGTTCGCGGACTGTTAACAGAGTCATAATTTCCTCCGTTCGGGATTCAATCGGTGACTTGGGGCACCATTAATCTCCCAAGTGGCGACTCTGAATCTAAATAATAAATCTCGTTCCTATTGTCCTTTAAGTGGAAAAACTCCTTTACACTCTCACGGGTATAGTGCAAAAAGGAGGTGTGACAGCTCTGGCGACTCTGCTGGGGAGAAGAACCCAGAACTTTGGTTCAGGGTTCAGAATTCGAGCTTAGATATATTGTTGTATTTGGCTTTATCTGATTTTCCTACATGTTTCATGCTAAATGTGCAAAATGTTGCTTTTTACCGCTTTGATATTATCTGAACTGTATATAAACTGTGCCGAAACCCTTCTCTTCTCACCTTCGGGATGTGCTTACTGGTTGAGACTCCCTATTCTGTTAGTGTCAAAACCCTGAAATAAGAAAGAGGCCGGACAAGTTACTAAGCCGGATGGCCTTTTGGTTCCCGGTACGTAGCCCCCTCCTCGACTCGAGTTGTCCGCTCGGGTACACAGTCTAGAACACATACCCAGGTTTTGAACCTAGAATAACTTGACTTCATGCCGGATCCCTAGTAGGAACGCTTATTTACATCACGTGCATATGACTTAGGTGACTCAACACAGGGGTTGGATCCGTCTAGGACAGGTGTACTCGGAATAATGGACCATCCTGATGCATCCTACTTGTGCATTTATCTGTTTTGTACTCGCATGCTGACCGGCTTTGAATATCCGGGAAAAATTGGAAAAAACAAACAAAAAAGAGAAAATAGCAGTGTAGAGAGTTAATTACCTATATTAGAAAAACCAATGTCCAAGTAGCGCCGAAATGCTGCCGGATTTTTGAGAAAAAGAGTTTTATTTTCAAATTAGTTTGTTTATTTGCCACTGAAAAAGAAAATATAAAAAAAAAAGAGTCTTTCTTCCAGAAATAATGTATTTGCCAGCAAAAACAAAACAAAAAGAGTCTTGTTTTCAAAATAGTAAGATTTATTTGCCCGAACTACGCTGGTTTGATTCTCACCGGATGTGAGATACGTAGGCAACCTTCCCTTTGCAAAAATAGCCAAAAAAAATGTGTCAAATTTTAATTTTGAATAAGTCAGGTGATGTCATTCTTGTTTAAAATAAGCCAAATGTCCCTCAAAAGGACGCAGGAAGGCTGTTTTTGCAAGAATAACCACCCTGAGTCATTTTTAAACAGTTAGCAGGCACAGCCTTAAAATCTTCTTTATGAAGTGCTGAAAGGCCGTATCCGCAAAACTGGCTGTTTGCTTAAATTGGAAATTTGAACAGAAATTGTGTCATTTTTCTCTTTTAGGTCAAAATAAGTGATTAAATCACCTTAATAAATGTGCAGGATGAGCACGACTCAAAATGAATTATTTTCAATCATGCATAAAATCCCTTTGGAGTTACGTCTGTGGTGGAACGATTTAGGTGGAGAAGGGCAAGATGCAATCAAGAAACATTTGAAAGGGCTCACCAGTTTGCTAGATATTGTGCATCGGGGAGATATTATCAGAGCATTGGTTACGTGTTGGGACCCAGCACATAACGTGTTCCATTTTTCGGACTTTGAGCTTACCCCGACATTAGAGGAAATAGCTGGCTACATTGGGAATGATGAGGTTCCGTTGAGGCACAAATACTTGGTTGCCCCCAGAGTTGTAGTCGTGCACAGATTTCTAGACTCTTTGAAGATAGTCCGAACCGTCCATAACACAGATCTGGCAAATGGCTTTTGTACTCTGAACTTCATATATCATCGATATGGCCATATCGGGGGGTCAACAACCCAGAAAACAAAATATGTAGCAAAGGAAACCGCCAGAAGTGGGAGGAGCATCGACATTTCGCTTTTATGGTGGCTTTTCTAGGGCTTTTAGTGTTTCCAAGGAAGGATGGGAACATTGACATAAGAATAGCTGGGGTCGTCAGCACGTTAATTACTCAAGCCAAAAGTACTCTTGCACCTATGATATTGGCCGACATCTTCCGTGCTCTTACAGCCTGCAAGGCCGGGGAAGCTTTCTTCGAGGGTGCAGTCTATTATTACAAATGTGGATGATCGAGCATCTGTGTCATCGTCTTCAGTTTTTGAGCTACGGGTCTCCAGAAAAAACATGTATAGAAGAGTTTTACACAAGGATTAAAGGGGCCAAACTGCCAGAAGGAGTCACGGGTTGGACAACATATTTTCGGTCCCTCACTGCTAGCCAAATAGAGTGGACACTGGGGTGGTTACCCGTTGATGAAATCGTATATATGCCGGCAGCCCGACCACATTTCCTTCTGATGGGGCTTAGAAGCATTCAGCCTTACGCCTCGTATCGAGTGTTGAAGCAGCTGGGGAGATGCCAGATAGTACCCAAGGATGATGATTTTAGTTTGCAAGTGGTTGAGATTGGCCCTGATGGCCAGTTTCCTGAAGCAATGGTCCGCCAAGTCTGGAGCGAATGTCAATATTTGGTGGCAAATACTTGCGTTCGAGATCGAGCCAAAGGAGAAGTGTCGCCTGATTATCAGGCTTGGTATAGAAGGGACGTTGCACTCGGAAGACCGGCCAAAAAAACCTCACATCCAGGAATTTGTTGAATCATCACAAGAACAGTGGGCTTGGTTAGCTAAAGAAAATGAGTACAGGGCTCGCATAGGAGCATTGGAAAAACAGGTCCAAGACCTCCGATTTGAAAATAGCTTGCAAGCCGCGGCTGATGAAGGTGAGAAAAAACAATTGGCCAAAGAGAATGAAGCATTACGGGCCCAAATCCAAAAAATGAAGTTAGAGGCCGATAACCCTGTCAGAAGTGCCAAAGATGCAAAGCTCATAGAAAATCTAAGGCAAAAAGTGAATGATTACAGTTTTGACCTCAACAAAGCGGAAAAGGAATTAGCCGGGGTTCGGAAGCAATTGGCTAAAAACGCTGAAGAACGGGCCCGCATGGTTAAACAGTTAAAAGAAGAATATGACAATGAGGTCACGGGATTAAAGAAAAAGGTCAATGCCACAGAGAACCGAATAATCAAACAGGCAAAAGAATTCAAAGTCGAAAGAGAACATTGTTACATGGCGTTGGCACAGTTAGAAATGGACTTGCAACAACTCCGGGAACAAAGCCAGGCGGCTGAGCAGACTTTGGAGGCTAGGACCCAACAGATAGGGCGGTTGCTTCAAGAGAAAGGAAGAATCCGAGAGAGAATCTTAACCGTTGCTCATTCCATTACTAGGAAATGTCAAATGTGCGAGAACATGACCCGTACCACTTTCTTGGCATCAGTGATGATATTTGTGAAGCAGATAATGAACGACCTGGACAGACTTCAAGGGGAACTTGCATATAGGCCC